TGACTTTAAAATTATGCGAGTTGGCGGTCGTCTTGAAAATTCTACATTTACATATTCAAAGAAGCATCCAATTCTCCTACAGTCCACTCATCCTTTTACAATTTTGCTCTTTGAATTTGAACATGAAAAGCTCATGCATGCTGGGCCACAATTATTGTTAGCATCAATTAGAGAGGCTTATTGGCCAATAGGTGGACGTAATTTGGCAAGGGCCTGTTATCGTCGCTGCATTAGGTGTTCTCGGATGAAGGGAAGGGTTATAGCACCAATAATGGGTAATTTACCACAGCAGCGCCTATCACCGGGAGGTTTTCCTTTTCAAACCGTTGGCGTAGACTACGCGGGCCCTATCTCTTCCGCTAGTCGTCAAGGTCGTGGTTGTCGCATAGTGAAGGTTTATATTGTACTGTTCATCTGTTTCACTACTAAGGCAATACATTTAGAATTGGTAGGTGACATGACGAGTTACGGTTATTTGTCAGCTCTACGTAGGTTTATTGCACGTAGAGGTAAACCGACACAGATGTTCTCTGACAATGGGACAACATTTGTCGGAGCATACAATGATTTGGCAAAATTTCTAAAGGACCATTCGGATGAAATATCTGGTGACTTGGCAAATGAAGGAATAGACTTTCATTTTATTCCTGCCTATTCACCTCATTTTGGGGGCATCTGGGAGGCAGGAGTTAAATCCACAAAATATCATTTGCTTAGAGTGCTGGGAAATTGTAACCTCACTTACGAGGAATTAAATTCTACTTTGGTCCAGATTGAAGCCATTTTAAATTCACGGCCACTCACGCCTTTGTCTTCGCATCCCGACGATATGACGCCGTTAACCCCTGGACACTTTTTGATCGGACGCTCTCTTACTTCGCTACCAACAAAGGATCTTCAAGATCATAATGCTGCCCATCTCACCCGCTTCCATCGCATCGAGCAATTGCGGCAGCATTTTTGGACAAGGTGGAGCAAAGAGTATGTGTCGGAACTCCAACAACGGACTAAATGGCAGACTTCCAACCACCCTTTGCAGATCGACTCCCTCGTTTTGTTGAAGGAAGATCACTTGCCTCCCCTCAAGTGGAAGCTGGGCAGAATTATTCGGCTGTACCCAGGTGCCGACCAAGTTGCTCGCGTAGCGGAGATCAAAACCTCGACTGGAGTGGTCAGAAGATCTTTTAGTAAAATTTGTCCGCTGCCGATCGGTGATAATCAGTAGCTGGTTGAAAGGAAGGCTTTCAACGCCCGGGGGCATGTCGAAGCGCCTACTGCTTTATAAAGGCAATTACACTCAACTGGCTAATGACGCGAACAAGCGCACCTTAGGCGTATTTGTAGTTAATTTTATTGTATTCTGTAACCTCTCATCAATCTGTTTTTTGTCATTGTTCTGATTACACGTAATTAATTCTACTCGACTGCTTTAAATTATTTTACCACCTTGGAGTTTTCTACAAGGTATTATATTAAAAAAAAAATATTGCAGTTTGTATTAAATTTGTATCATTACTAAACAATTGCATCTTTACTAGAAATTGTCTAAGTGTCGCTGGCGAGTGGCGAAATCGATTCAACATAAATCGATAAAGATCGATATCGAACCGATAAGTTCACCGAAAAATACTTACGACTTTAATAGAAATGAATTTTCAAAAATAACGTATTTTCGTATACTTTATTATTCTTATATAGTATAGAGTACAATTACCTTAAATAACGTACAATACTTTATTATAAAGTACTGGTGGCAACCCTAATTAGGTAGGTAGATATTGTACCTATTCTTTATTAACTTAATTACTAACTATAAACCTATTATTACTAAATTTTATTATCAAATTCAAATACTTTATTATCAGTATCTGTCTACCTACTATAACATACCTACTTACTTGATTCGTTGTGATCTGATATTATAGGTACCTAAGTAGATGCGCTAACTTGAGGTTATTGGATTGAAATCCTTCAAGGTCAATAAGAAGGTTGGAATTTGAGAATGAGGAAATATGAGTTTTAATATCCAAAGTTCACAGTCGGTGATTTACGGCGCGATTAGCGACATGGACTTATGACATGGACACGGTTATACTACATTGTCATATAGTACCTAGGTAGGTACTTCATCATAGTATTATTATTCTAAATTATAATGAAAAATTACATAAATTTTAAGTTAAATCCTTAGAAAGGAGGGAGAACAATCAAACATTCTTCATAAAGATGGAAGACCTACCTTACCAAGACGCCCAACTTTCGTACTTTTAAACATTTTCCGAAAGGGGAAACCCTTTTGTTATTACACAGGTCAGTTGGTAAAATAAGCAAGTAGGTAAAGTATGATTTCCAGGTAAACAACAAATGTTTTAGCTTTTTTGTTTAGGTTTATAAAACTGAACGCCGAGTCGAGCAAGTGCGAGTGCGATTGCCGAAGCGGGCAAAATATATTGACTTTTTTTTTAATATGTGGATACCTGCACCTTCATTTATCCTTTGGGAAAATAGAAGGCGTGATGTTAATACGATAGTACCTACTTTATAAAATTGGTCTATAGGAACAAATACCTGCCTTGCCTTTAGCGTTAATTTCCATAATATTAGCTACTATTAAGGCTTTTTCATGAATTTATCTGATATCTGTAGTATATTGTCTCTTTTTGTGGAGATTGAAAAACCTAGTAGGTACCTATAAAACTAAGTAACCTACTAAAAATTCGACGACACATGACTAAGATTAATTAAACTACAGCCATTAATACAACCACGTTTTGGTGTAGATATGTGATGTTAGTGCCTAGGAAATAACACACACACTTGATCCCGGGTATGTCCCGAAAGAGAAGCAGATCATAGACCATAGACCATGGGCTCGCTGCCATTGCAGCGGTAAGTCCCCTCTTAGAGGAGTGGCTTGAAAGACGCTACGACGTCCTCACCTACCGCTTGACGCAGGTCCTCACTGGACATGGAAGTTTCAGGGAGGTACCTGTGTCTGATGGGGCGGGAGCGGGAGGACACGCCCGGGTGTCATGACTGCGAGGACCGCCCTGAGGACACGGTGGAACACACTGTAGCGGAGTGCCCTGCGTGGGCTGAGCACCGCCGTGCCCTCAGGGACGTGATCAGCGATGGCGATCTCTCGTGTCCGGCCTTAGTGCGGGTCATGATGCGGACCGAGGGGGACTGGGATGCCGTCCCCATCTTTTGCGAAGCAGTCATGCTAGCCAGCGAAGCGCTGCGTCCTCGCAACCCAGCCATCGTGAGGACACTCCGGGCGACGGGGATCACGGGACGATCTCCGGCCACCGTAAGCGCGGGCCTGCGGACGGCGAGCATGGGTGGCTCGCTGCCCGACCAGAACCAGACCCGAGCGTACGCGCCTCAGAGAGCCATCAGACCACCACGGATGGGGCCTAATAGGGCTGATGCCGATACGGAGTCGCGTAGAACCTAAAGGGTTACCGGGGCTCCGGCTCGAAGTGCAGGAGTAGGAACGGGGTGGTTTTTAGTCAGCAAAAGTCTGACACTAAGGGCGGGAGAAGTCATTCGATGATTTTCCCCTCTTAAAAAAAGACCATTGACCAACCGCCAAGAGAAGGGTAGTCTAAACTCGCAGTAACCTAACTGCGAGCCCAAAGCCAAGCTTGAGGATTGATCACACTCGCCCCTTAATTCAGGAGGACAATTTCCGGCTGACAATGACAACAAACAACGAAACTGGTAAAAGGTAGTTCCTCTGGGAACACGATAGCCATGATGCTATGGTATCTATCTAAGTTAGTAGGTTTGTATCTGCGTGTTTAGTTAAATACTTACCTACCTACCTACCTAATATAATCAAATAAATTGTTTAAGAAACAATTTTACCATCGGGAATAGAACCTGCGGCCACCGATTCAGCATCATTTTAGTTCATCATCATCAGCCCTTATTCGTCCACTGCTGGACATAGGCCTCTCCTATGGCACGCCACTGAGCTCGGTCTTCAGCTCTTCTCATCCAACCACTGCCAGCCACATTGCAGATGTCGTCACTCCACATAGCTGGAGGGCGCCATACACTGCGTTTGCCTAGACGCGGTCTCCACTCTAGAACACGTTTACCCCAACGGTTATCGGTTCTTCGACAAATGTGACCGGCCCACTGCCACTTCAGCTTACTGATCCTTTGGGCTATGTCGATAACTTTGGTTTTCTGTCGGATCACTTCGTTTCGGATTCGATCCTTCAAAGAGACTCCGAGCATAGCCCTCTCCATAGCTCGCTGCGCGACCTTAAAGTGGTGGACCAGTCATTTTAGTTGAATACTCCAAATATATTTTTTTACTATAGTCTTATCTATCATATCAGTGACTACGAATAACAGTGTGACGCCATCTATTAGAATACTTGCGTAATTAAAATCAGCGAAGAAGAGTCTTTTTCTTCATCTTTGACAGCTTTGTAAATTGGTTTTGATCGATGTTTTCAAAATTTTAATTCTATAGTTAATTTTTATCATAGTATCTAAAGGAACCGAATAAAGCGAGTAAAACCGCGCGGATCTACCTAAGCTAGTATTATATAAATGTATAGTTCACGAGTTATTTCATTGAGAATCATGGCATGGGTTCGAATCCCGAGTAGCGATTATTGTTTAGTGATTCCCAGTACCATGTCTCCCAGTATCGAGTCCGGTGTCTGTTTTTCATTTCAAATAAGGCCTGCCCTAGACGGACTGCTCGAACAGACAGTCAACAGCTAGAAACTGCCATTGCCAAGCCAACTGCTTGATAAAAATATTGTTAAATTATGAAAACTAGGTGTTACATTTTATCCGTCTTGTGCCAGAACGCAGATCTACGCGAGACACAATGTATTTTCTATAGTGTCTTATATACCGGCAGTCAAGAGGTTAATATTATTGTGCATGCACCAAAGTTCTCTACTGTAACGTCACATTTACTGCAAAACATTCCGGTTTTAACAAACATTTATTTGTAAAGAATAAAAAACAAGTTTCCTATTTACAACTTTTATTTTATTATGGTATCAGTCATCATCTAGTTTTTGACGCATATTTCTTTTGGGATTGTTAAACTTTCTCTTTTTGAATTCTACGGGTTCATCTCCAAGAGACTCGATGCGTTTCTCTTTAAACTGAATGATTTCAGGTTGCACCACCACTGGGGGCGGCGGCAGCACTTTTTCATTCTTCGGAAGCTGAAGATCCACTTGTTCCACAGCCCTAGAAAATAATAACAAACGGAATTATAAACAAAAAAATTTAACCGATTTTTTGATCTATAGCACTCAGAAGACACAAAAATTCATTGACATCATCAGATGTCAATGAATTGTGGGATTATTTATTTTTTGAAATCATGAAAGTAAATTCATTTTACTTTCAATATAACTTAGGTACTGAACCGATTCTGATGAGATTTGTTACACAGCATTGGAATTAACCTTGGAAAAGACAAATAAAAATGTCTTAATTCTGCCAGAGCCATTATTATATGCGGACGAAGTCACAGGAAACAGTTAGTAATAAATAATAATAGGCATGTTTTGAGTTAACTTACTGGTTGACAACTGGGGTCCATGAGCCATAAGGTTTACTAGCTCGAGGAGCAGGTCCATAATCCACAAATTTCTTGACTGGCGCTGGTTCCTTTTAATGGCTAATTCTTTCATTTTCTCTCTTGCTAAGTGAGCATTTACTTCCATATGTACATCTTTCTGAGCTTGTTTTTGTTGTTGTTTTCTGTAACAAAAGTATTTATAGTTTAATAATAGGGAAGATTTTATTTTTAAACTAATAGGACTGGGTGATTTTAATTAAGGTTATTTTTAATTCCCACTTACTTTATTTTCTGTATCTTTTTCTCTTGAGCTTCTTCTTTTAATTTGTTCTTCTCTTTTTCTACTACTGATATAAATTCGTCCGGAGCATCCCAGGTGGTTTCTGTAATCAAATGTAACAATAAACACTAAGGAAGCTAACTTAAATTTAATGAAACACTTAAGTTTACTTAAAGAGATGTTTTTAATATCAAGACATTATTGGAAGTGATTTAGATTCCCAATACTGCGGGACAAACAAGCAAGATATTATGGGTCCAGGCTCTAAATTAGGAAATTGGGTATTAATAATTTCCAATATCCTCACACAGAATCTTGAATTGTACAGTACATGGCTACATTTTGTTGAGTAAAAAATAAAATGTGTTTTAATAATTGATACAAACCATTTGTTATAGTATTCCAGTAATATGAGCTTCCATCATCACTCTTGACTTCTTCCCAGGCCGGTGGTGCCTTGGAAGTGGGTGAATTACTAACCACAATAGTAGCTTCACTGCTACCACTCTGTTTTATTAAATCATTAATACTCTGAAATTAGACAAAAAGATTCATTAATACAAAAAACAAGGGCACTTACGACACAGGGAGTGAAGGCCCCACGGAGTATGAGAAACAATATATGAACAAAAATAAAATAAGAGATTAGTCATTTTCTTTTAAAAAATGCAATGAAAAATCTTTTAAAAATTATATGCCCAAATACTGAAAGGCTACTAAATTTTAAGATGTAGGCACTTTAATATTGTGCCGTCTCTGTCATGTACAAAGAATTTGTAGTGACAGATCTATACTCAAACATAACTTAAAATTGAGTAGTGTTTGAGTATTTGGACATTAGTTCTATGTTTCATTTATTAGGACATTGTAGGTGTATATTAAGACGTAATTGCTAGACATATTTATGTATGTACAACATACATACTTATTTATTACCTGTGATGTAAGATCTGCATTGTTCTTAATATCATTTAAGTAAGCTGCCATAGCAGCGGCTTCCATTTTTTTCATGTCATCATCAATTTTTTCTTTCTGTTTGAATTCTTTGGCACTCTTTTTGCTAAGCTGCGATATGTGTTTCTGAACATTTTCCTTGTGGCGCTTGCCATTCTCATGAAACGATATGGACTGAAAATAAAAGTTATTTACACTTATTGTTATTGTTTTTTCCTCTTTGCAATTTTGTTCCTACTTATATCAACAAAATATTTTGCGTTTACATTATAGGTAATGTTTAGTTTTTAAAGTTGTTAATGTATATTCAAGAGAGCATATAGTAAACTAATTAGCTGTTTATATTGTTTATTTGTAAGATTTAGTTTGTATATTAGTACTAATACAATTTATTAAGATTGAGAGAAGAGACATATTTTGTAATGGGACAATCTTCCACAATCCCGCCACAATCTCCCAAAACAGCTGCAACTCCTGTAAGCCCGAATCTGCAATACACTTTGGTGTTTTCATAGTTGTAAACATGAAAACACTGAAATCCGGCGGGTCCCAAGGTCATGAATAACTATAGAAGAAAATCGAAAATTTCCACTTCCCTCAATGAATTACTGCTTTTTAAGGTTATTTTGTGGTATTTCATTGTTTATTTCAAAGTTATAAATGTTCATGGTATTTAATTATTTATTGTACGGTTATTAATTTCCGTGGTTTTTTACATGTTAATTAAGTGATTACATTTTTGTAGTGAAACAAATGATTATAATTCCTAGTTATAATTCTTTATATACTTACCACTTTGTTATCAGCAAACCAACATTTGCAAAATTCACAATACTTTCGTGCCTGAGATTGCCAATATTCTGTCCTGAAATAAATATGTATTTATTTATGATAAAATAAACACCTACTTGACTTATCAATATTTACATGCATTTATTCTTTTTATTACTTACATGTTGAAGTTCTAATGAAATACGGTACAAAATGGATTCCTCAGCAAACGATCACTTTAGGCAACAATGTTTAATTTCTTGTCTACAGGTGTGCCTAATTAAATAATTTCACTTTTATCACAAGATTCTAACTTGCATTTCTACTTCTGGCTTCTGCAGCAAAAACAACAAACTGAATCTCTTGTGTACAAATATGTACAAATGCATATCAAATACAATACGATATCATCACTGATAAGTTAACTTTTAAATCTATGAATACCATACAATAAAATGTGATTTTTGGCATTTGGCATTTGTTGGCAACCATGGAACTGACAAGTTGACAACGTCAACGTAAAACGTCTGTATAGACGTTTATGTAGAGCTTTTTGTCTATATCTTTATTTTAATCCATGGGGTTTAAAACTGCTACTAATTAATTTTAAATAGTATGACAATAATAATTATGTACTGCTGGTACTGCTAAACAAAATAATATTATTGTGTTATTTTACTGTTTTAAGAATTTGGTTTATATTGCATATAAATAAGAAAAACTCGAAAGAGCTTAATGTTGCATTGTACATAATTAAAACGTTTGTTATATGTGTATTAAATAAAAAAAATACAGTGTAGATATATAAACTTATTAAAAAAATTTTGTAATCCGAATCCCGTGTCTGACTGAATCATACTTGATTCTTACTAACATCAATATTGTTTTGAATGAGACCATTTAAAAAGAAAAAGAGTCTTGATTTTTCATTAACCTTGGTCCTTGTTTGAAACATTATTTTTAGGGTGCATCCACATCTGGCGAATGCTTCGCAAATGCAGCTCGTGATCCGCTCGGAAGCCGCCCGCGCGAGAAATTATAAAGAAGGTTATATGTAGGTCGCGGGCAGTCTGCTAACAACTCGTGGGCGTCACATTCGCTAGATGTGGACGCATCTTTATCTATGCATGTTGGTGGATATAGTAATATTTTTGTAGGTTTTCTGTACAGTAATAGTATTTCGATGAAACTGTGTAAACAGATTTTGTACTTTTTTCTGTCTAAGAAATATTAATGGTACATCCAAGAGGATGTAGATAAAATTACTCAAAAAGTTACTAATTCTACTTTTTATTTCTAATTGGTACACTTATTTCTATTTGCTACACTCACCGGTGACTAACCGAACGTAACGTTGCATTATTGTTTATCTACGAAAACGAAGTCAATGCAAACTTCTATCAAACAATTGGCAACTGGCAACACTGTTTTGGTTACATTGTGATGTCGTCGCCGAGTATCGAGTGTCGTCGTCTTTTGTAGAATTTTATCAAGGTAATGTTTATTTATGAATCTTGCGCATTTTATTTTTATATTCGATACGTATGAGTTGTAAAAGTTTTTGTGCAACTTCTTTGGTAATTACATATAGTAATAACTACTTGTCACTTAAATATTTCTTGGCGGCCATATTAAAATTCGAAGATAAAACTACGACTTCATTTTATCCTGTGTAATCTCTTTGATCTCGTTCCGTTTATGTTTAAATACATAATAGAACAAAATTTAATTACATCCCCTTTGTTCTATACTTCTTAGTTCTATTAGGTATTTGTTTCCATGGCCAATTTCTGTTTTGTAATTATTTGTACCTACTTATTTTGAGGCTTGTTGACGCGTCTCGTAATCTCGTTTACCTATCTTTCTTTGGCGTGCCTATCTATACTATAATGCTAATTATGTATGTCTTTATTGTTTCAGATATCCCCGGACTAAGTTGGTGAACGTGATAAACTTCTAAATAGCTTATGTGTCGAAAAGTGACTTATCGTAAAATTTATTTAGTGTCGGACTTGGACAAAGAATTGTGATTCTAAGTTTCTAATTTTAGTCGTGTCCCTAGTGGGATTATTTGGCAAAATGATGACCGAAAATAGAATTAGTTCAAGTAATCACGTTGGAAACAGTATGACCAGTCAGAATAAGGGGTTCGTATAACTGTTTGTTTGCTAATGTGTTTACTTCTGAATTTAATAATAATTCTAATTTCTTTTTACAGTGATGTCGATAAAAGTATCGATGACATCGGTTGGAAATCAAAATTAAAAATACCCCCGAAAGACAGGAGAATAAAGACTAGTGTAAGTTTAAACTACCTTCATTATAAATAATTTGTACCAATCTTCCTAATAAAAAGACTTAAAAAATGTATCTAATTAGTTTCCAAACTAATATTTCAAATAGAATCTCAATAGAATTAGGTACCTAACTGCAAAAAACAAAAACATTTCCAATAAATTATAAGAGAAGAGTTTTGTAGATAGATTTTTTATTTATCACTGAAAAAATTCTAGTTAGATAATCAGTGTTCTAATATGCTCATTTGTGATGTTCATTGCTCATTCTTGCCTTTAAAGGATGTAACAGACACAAGAGGTAATGAGTTTGAAGAGTTTTGCCTAAAACGTGAGCTGCTGATGGGCATTTTTGAGAAAGGATGGGAAAAACCTTCTCCTATTCAAGAGGCTTCTATTCCTATCGCACTCAGTGGTAAAGATGTCCTCGCAAGAGCTAAAAATGGAACTGGCAAAACTGGCGCTTATTGTATTCCAGTTTTAGAACAGGTTTGTATGACTGTTATTAATTTCTAGTTGGGTATTGTAAATTTACTACTGAAAAGCTTGAATGATGATATTTTTGGATTCCCCTTCACTTGTTTATAAGTGACAAAACCCGTATTTACTGACTATGTATTTGACCACTAGATTAAATCCACAAATGATTTTAGGAAGTTGTAGTGTATTAAAAATGTTTTTATTCTGTATATTTAGGTGGATCCCAAAAAAGATGCTATTCAAGCTTTAATTGTGGTACCAACTAGGGAGTTAGCGCTCCAGACATCACAAATTTGCATTGAACTGGCAAAGCACACAGATATTCGTGTAATGGTTACTACTGGAGGTACTAATCTCCGGGATGACATTATGCGTATTTATCAAAATGGTAAAGATGATTTTATTTTCTAAATTTAATTTAATAATAAATAGTTATTTTGTGGTTAGATGACATCTTATCTGTCTTGTATTTTTCAGTTCAAGTTATTATTGCTACGCCGGGTCGTATGATTGATCTCATGGATAAACAAGTTGCCAAGATGGACCAGTGCAGGATGCTGGTTCTTGATGAGGCAGATAAACTTCTTTCTCAAGACTTCAAAGGAATGTTGGATATGGTTATTTCACGGTATGTGTGTTTTGTTCATCACTCTATTATTATAAATGTGAAAGTTTCTTTGTTTGGATGTTTGTCCATCAATCCCACTGAAACTAATGGATAAAAGGATTTTGATGAAATTTGGTATACTGGGAGTTTGGGCTGACTTAAGTGATAGGATACTTTTTATCCCGATTAAATGCCCCCATATGATAAAACAGGAATCATATTCTATGGACAAAGTCGTGGGCAACAGCTAGTTTGTTATATTTTTATTCCAGGTATATCTTTATGCAAACATAAATATTTATAATATTTTCTCAGATTGCCCAAAGAACGCCAGATCTTACTGTTCTCTGCAACCTTCCCACTGAGTGTAAAGCAATTCATGGAAAAGCACTTACGAGAACCATATGAGATTAATCTCATGGAGGAGTTAACACTGAAGGGAGTTACACAGTACTATGCATTTGTACAAGAGAGACAGAAAGTTCATTGTTTAAATACACTTTTTTCTAAGGTTTGTATTACCATAATTTCTTTTTTAATATCTTTACTTGAATTGATTCATTAAATATTATTGTATGTGACCTAATTTACATTACTTTATAGTATATACCTTTTTGTTTCAGTTGCAAATAAACCAGTCTATAATATTCTGTAATTCAACTCAGCGTGTAGAGTTACTTGCAAAGAAAATAACTGAACTAGGATACTGCTGTTACTACATTCACGCGCGTATGGCGCAAGCACATCGTAATCGTGTGTTCCACGATTTTCGGGCGGGACTCTGCCGCAATCTCGTGTGCTCTGACCTGTTCACTAGAGGTATCGACGTGCAAGCCGTCAACGTCGTCATCAACTTTGATTTCCCACGTATGGCTGAAACCTACCTACATCGCATCGGTCGTTCAGGACGTTTCGGTCACTTGGGTATTGCTATCAACCTAATCACATATGAGGACCGTTTTGCTCTGCATCGCATTGAGCAAGAGCTGGGTACTGAGATCAAGCCGATCCCGAAGGTGATCGACCCGGCGCTATACGTAGCGCGCCCGGACGACGATGACTCGGCCGACAAGTAACGCCGTGCCGTCGTCGCACCGCTCGCGCACTTGCTCGCTGCGCGTGCCCCATCTAACTGGACTTGCTGACTGGTGAAAGGAACTACATAGTTTAAATCTTTAAAAACAAAAACTTATTTGTAAAAAAGTGTAATGAATTTATTGTAACAAAATGTGAGTGTAAATAGTTTATCGTGAGTAAGACTTTGACCTGAAATGGGTTACTTTTTTAAAGTGTAAATAAACCACACATCAGGACATAAACAAAAAGGTATCTTGTGTACTTTGTCCATATTGGATATTGTGTGCGAATTCCTACATTGTTAAAATATAAAAAATATTTATTTGAGCATCATCTGTGAGAGTCTACCTAGATTTGTCCAGCATCTTAACATAAATTGTGGTTGACTTTCTGTTGATATCATGAGTGCCTATCCACACTATATGTATATAAGTTTGAGCTAGCACCAGTTTTATTTTCAATCAAAATAACTTTAAAATTCTGTGAGGTGGATAGGTAACTAGACTAGCTCAAACAACATCTATTGTTAAAGAAAAAACATTTCAGTGTATATCATGTTGTTTCTGGCCGCTTGAAACAATATTTGTCAACAAGCCACATTTATAAAAGGAAGGTCATGATGATACAAACCCCTTCAGACAAAACTTAACTGATCTCGAACGAGTATAATCAAAAAATATTTTTTCAGTTTTATTTTGATCTGGGTGCATATCATTTTGACCTAGCTTTAAAGAATTGTTATCATGTTACTGATTATATTTTATTTTTAAGCGGTTCTGTCACAGAGTCCAGTAATTTACAGTTTAAAATTTGGGTCTGGAGGATTTCACTAAAGATAAATAATTTAAAGTGGCCATATTATCATCTCAATCACAACTCAATGGCAATTATTAATACACAGAAATGTGTTTTTATCTTTATCGGTCCTCCAGGCTTATCTGGTATTTAAGTCAACATTGTTTTATAATACATAATATTTGCAAGAACTGTGACACAGTGAGGAATAAATCATTCTGTTGTGGCTTGCAGAAATGGCGTGTTGCTCATTTTGGGGAACTATTTTAGAGGGCTTCGTGTAAAGAAACGATATTCCCATCTGCTCTCAGGGGTCAAAAACAGATTCGGGATGTCAAGTGAAGAGTTATTTGGTCAACAGGCCTTACTGAAAGTATAGAGTACAACAACCAGAATTTGTAAAATCTTTTATGTTTGTATAAATAAATCTGTTGTTACTCAATATAGGAAATCTCTCATAATTATATGTCCTACTGTCAATTTACATACATAATTTGTTTGGAAACTTAATTTTAAATGAATTAGATCACTTCATTTTGCAAATGAAAAATTGAAATATAATATTTTTTATTTATATTCGGTGTTTCAGAGTTACACATCTTATTATTTATTTTATTAGCCTGTAAATTTGACCTATAAGAAAAGAGTTAGTGCAAATTACAGGTTGTAAAATTAAGAATAGACCAAGTTGAGAATTGTAAAGATTGCTTTGCTGATTGTATTTAGTATAAGGATTGTTTTGGATAGTGGAAGCTTGATTCAATAATTGGTGAAAATTGCATACAAATGTTGTGAGTCATGGAAAATGATTTTGACAAAATATATCTGTGATAAAGGTTATGATGGTTTCACGGTACACCCAGCAACACAGCAACTATATATAATGTTTATAGTTAATAAAATATACTGAATAATTGGATGTAATTGAAAATATAAGCATCTGTGTTGCTGATCGTGCGTAACTGGGTTAAGATTCGTGTGTGTACCTTTGAACTATAAATTTAATTATTTAGTCTTCCGATAATCTCGAAGTATGTGTAATTGTAAATGACCATTTAATATTACGAAGCTACGCAGGTTAATAAAATAAAGAGAAATATCCTGATTATTAAGTTACTTGTATACATGTGACAACGTTGATTCACGTCTATTGTTTTTGAAAATGAAAAATGAGTTAAAAAAGTAGTTGATTGTCGAAACTCATGCTCGGTATTTGATCTCTTATTTTCATTTTAATATGCATGATGTTTTGACACGTGTCTGAAGCCTCTGAGACACCCTTCTTTGTGGGTTAAAAATATTTGAATCGGCGTTGCCGCTGCCACCACCTATCAGGAAAATATAATGATGATCATAATTGAACAAAATATTTGAAACCCGAAATAGAAAGCATATCAGATAAGATTTTATATAGATATTATAGTTTCAATAAATCATGCTCTTATACAAAATACGAGTCGAAATAGTATACATTCTAGAGTGACCTATATTGGCAGTGGCATATTCTGTAATTTAATAATTGTTTATCTTGTTTTATCTATTTCAGAAATATATTGTTGTTAAAAAACGGGCCAAAAAATAAACTCTTCACGCCATTTCCTTTTTTATTTTTTATACACCTTAGATATACATTACAATGTTTCTTATCTGCAATCACTATGAAAAAGTTTTGGCAGCGCTACGATTCGTTTCCGATTCCGTTAACATAGTACTTTTTTAATTACTATGATTTACCTATTCCACCATCATCGTTAAAATATTTTTTTTTTAGAATATCGGTTACCATCTACATAATTTTCACTTAATCAATGAGACACATTTTAAATAAAAAGTATTTTATTAAAATCAGTCGTAATTAAGTAAGTACATATATTCAGTTACGCAAGTCAATAGCACTGTTTTCTTATAAATAATTAGGTATTTATGTGATGTACACTTTAACTTCGATGGCAACAACTAGGTCTTTAGCGTTTAATTTTTTAAAGGATATGTAGTTCTAGATTTACAGTGGCTCCCACTTAATAATAAAGGGGCTAAGTAAATATCTCAGAACTTTATTCCAATAAATAAAATATCAACTTCCTCGTTTATGAAGTTATAAATAGTTTTATGAAAAATCAAGGGTATAGGGGAATATTTCTTACGAAGAAAGTTCTATTTATTTCTAATGCAATGAAAAGAGTAATTTTATTAATCAACACATAAATACAAAATCTTACGCCTGTCTCCCATGAGAGAGACTCGCAGAGACTATGAAACGATAATTGCTACGACTCTTCATAGTTACCTCTTCATCAACAGTCATCTTCAATAAATTTTTATGTAACAAGATTAGTGTACATATTGCGTTGGGTATCTCGCTACTCGTGGACACTGAATTATTTCTGTTACGTCACAGTTCATGTTGTTCCTTTAATTTCTGCTAAATACGTTCTTGACAGAAAGAAGAGAAGAATTTCCTGTAGAATTGTTTTAAGAAAAGTATATAGTACTTTATAATGGTTTTTATAAAATTGGAGGAAATACTGGACTGGATGGTAAGTTATCTGTTTACAACTTGTTTTATGAACAAAAAAACCGATGTCATCAATTAAATTTTGAACACATGTTTATTAAAAATAACAGGCAGTTCATCACATAAGTATAAATAGGCATAATAAAAATATATAGCTGTCTTACAGTTAAAGAAACATCAATTGGCGGATAGTTCTGGTGGGTATTGGAATCTTTTATTACGTCTCAGGTCCCCTGACATTCTACATCACTGGTTAATTAGATTAAAACAAAAATAATAATAACTTAGTATGAAGAAATTAACTTACATTGTCATGTATTACTTTGTCATAACATTAAATTAGTTTGTTCATATTCCATGCATGACTAAATAGTTTAATTTTAATTGAAGAGATCAAATTATGTTTATTAAGTACAAGTTCAAAATTTACTTAAAAAGTATTTTATATACTCCAATAATCGTTATTATAATATATTAATAGCATTTTATGGCATACCGTTTCAAATATTAATTATTGTAAACAAACCAATTTCACACATCCCAATTTCTAATATCTATCTAAATGACATTACGTTTTAAACACAGCTTACAACTATGGGCCATTACAAAATACGTATATAATAACGATTCTTAATGTAAATTCGATATTCTATTGCGCTTTTAAGTAGGCGTAGGTATTCAACTAAGTACAAAATATAACTAAATATATGTGGGCATTGAAATCCTTAAGTACGAATCAAAAAGTTTATACCATAATGTGCGTAATTCTTAATAAAAATGTACTTTTCGTTCACATGACGTGATAATTAATAATTATACATATACTAAAAATAAGTTGATATGAAACTTGATAACAACAAGTTTAACTGAGTTGCTTCGACTTTTACTCACAGAACTTAATGTAACTGCGAGTATTCTATTCTTGACTTCTGCTTCTGGGATTAAGTACCTCCTTGTAAAGTCAGGTCATAGTTTATCTATATGCCACACATAAAGTAGTCATTTAGTAATAAGATTGCAAAGTTATGACTGGTACGCTCATAGCGTTATTATGCTGTCTCTATAACTTAGCAAAGTTTCACTTAATGTGTGTCATTCTCATTGATATAGTAATAATAAGCTGTGATTTTATTCAATAGATAATTGTGATATGAGCAGGTCCGGTGGCGGCGGTAGGCCTGGCTGCAGAGTGACGGCCACACCGCGGTTCAATGACACAGCCGGGTAGAACGCTCCGCGAAGACCCGTAAATGCTATATCACCCTGCAAAAGTAATCTAGATTTACTAGATGACGCTAAAGTATCGATTAAAATAAGCAGCATAACTTTCTTGAAAAAAAACCTATAAAATTAGATACAGTCAAAATCATTTAAGTTTCATACCTGAGGTTGGTCGTCTACAGTGAAACGTAGCGTGCCACGAGTGAGATCAAGTAGTACACCAACGCAGGAACCTCGAGCAATGCCTCCCGCCGCCCGACCACCGTGCGCGCCGCCATGCACGAACCACGACCTCGAACCATCGATATACATCGCCCAACCCAATGCGTCGCTACCTACGATCATATTAATTATGTAACCACAGTTAGTATTGGTTTAATATTCATTTCTTTCATATTTTTTGCGTTAATTATCGTGTCTCGTGCTGAATAAGTTTAGTCTTTATTAGGAAGGGTTTGAAAATACGTATTTCAAGCTTCGCAGACAGTGTGGGTATTGAAATTCGGTAAAAAAGGTCGCTGCTTATGTCCCTTAGTTATTTGGAGCAATTTTAATGTTTATTATCATCTTATATGAACTACCTAGCATCTTATCTCTGGCAACATCCGCCCTAGCAATTCCGAAAGCAGGATCAGCGTCTCCATCGTATCTGTCAATGCGCAGTCTCCAGTAGTGCATTCCGCGAGCGAGTGGTTGGTCTGCGAGTGCGACGCGTGGCTGCCAGCCCGTTGCAGCCGCGCTTAGTCCGTCTGCACTGAGTGTCACTCCACCTTCGGCCTCCGCACACCGCGCGTCCCATGTGAACCATGCCACTGAAATAGAAGTATTAATGTAGTACTTATAAGAAGTAAGATCGTTACTATCTCCTAATCTGATAAGAAAGTTCATCATATGTTTTAAGTACCTGGAGAGGTTTGAAGCCCGATTACTTCGCTGTAAGGACCTTCCCCAGCTCCATTGAAAGCCTTCACCCGGGCGCTGTACAACGAGGCATAGTGCAATCCATCTATAGTACAAACTGTTTCCCGCCCGCAGTATACTTCCTGTAATCATCAGAAAAACAATTTGATATTAATAAATAAGTCGAACTATCGCACTTTATCATAATATACAAGGCCTAATATATTTCATAACAAAAACATTTTTGGTAAACAATCAGATAGCATGAATGTATAGCATCACAAAATGGTACGACTGCTTATCTACGACAAATATACGCCACAAGGCCACATTAGCTTACATTTGATAAATGTAGATGATAATATGCTATAGAATTTACGAGTAATGGGATGAGCACAGATAGTAAATGAAAACAATAAGCCGTATTGTGTATGGTAATCATAATGTACATATCTACATAACGGTGAATATGTTTCTATAGTGTGCCTATACATCACGGCCCTTTATAGAATAATTTAAAGAATTATTTTTGCATTATATGATGCACTTTGCACATAATTGTGGTGATAAACACTCGCGTACTTTTATTTTAACTAACAACATGTTAATGTTTTGTAAATTACATTCAGATTTTATCAGGTAAAAACCAAGATAAGTGTTTAAATAATAAAATCAATTAGGTACCTAGAATAAATAGGTTGAGATATCTAATTAATCGCATTGTTCTTCAATAGTATATGCAGATTTATTCCTTTGTATTCTACGAACAGTCAGGATTTCATGTAATCCAGATGATACATTCCTCTTAAACATAAAGGATTTCTGCAGTCTGACATCGATATATCGTAACATAATCTGATTAATGATGATGAATTATACTTTAATTACAAGTAAGATGGATCATTGTTTTTGCATCTCATCCAATTAATCTACCTAATCATAAAATTTATTTACTGGAAATAAGGATAGGCAGTTAATAAAATCATCCGACTTGAACAATCAACTTGAGGCCCTTGCCAACTATTGTTTGCACAATGAGCAGGCTGAGACTCAAGTTTCGGGCGTAACGTAGTAATAATGCGAAAATCAAAATGATCAGTTCAGAATTGTTTCATACCTACTAGGTACTAAGATCAAAATAATCTGACAGTGTGTGTTAAGAACGCTCAAGTTTCAGGGTAGTTGTCATAATTCGACGATTTTAGTATCCACGTAATAAATGGGTAGTATTTATATTATAGCACATCATATTATAAAATTATATGTGTATTTGAGGTACATAACACTAGAAATTAAGTACTATTGGATGGATGTAATAGAATTTGATAGTAATAAAGACTGATTTAAGTGATCATTGAGTCCAGTCAAACAAGGTCTTAATATTAATTAAATTTATTACCTACTATTAGTAATCTCTAAGTAGAAACGGATATTTGCAATGACGGTTCAGTGTCTAAATAATGTTGAAATTCAGTAGAAGCAATTTAACTGGCGCACGACCAGTGTACTAGCAACCTTTGCCAACTTTTCTAAATTAACATGCAATGATGAGTAAGTACTTTCGTGAGATCGACGAGCTTGCATACATGCCATGCTGTCAGTTTACTTCACCATAATTATAAAAAACTGCGTTTTAAAACCGACTTCAAAAACTAAAACAAACGAAAAGTAAAAACTAAAAGAGATGAAGGATTGTTGAGAAGTCGATGCCACAAGATTTACACAAAATTGTTCATTAAAACCTTAATAGATACCTAACATTATTAAGCTGTTTACAATTTTATTGTGGATTATACTTGTGACCATTACCTAAGATATATTTTGTTATGGGTTTGTGGCACTGACTTCTAACCTATCAGTGGGTGTGTAAGCTATATGTAAGTACGTATGACCAATAATAGTTATTTTTTGCTTTTTAGTTTTTACTTTTCGTTTGTTTTTGAAGTCGGTTTTTTAAACGCAGTTGTTTATTTTTATTTTATACTTTTTAATTTAGTACTAGAATATATTATGTACAATCCACATCGGTGCAAAGTTTTCATCAATACATATTATTCAAGCTCAAACACCAGGTAGCTACTGTTAACCATTGTTCTCTTAGCTATCGTACTACTTCATCATTGGACATTTAGTGACAACTACACCACACCTAGGTGTAAAGTTCTCATCAATACAAATTAATCAAACTAAAACACAAGATAGTTACTGTTAACCGTTGAGGAGTTCCCTCAACTATCGTACTACTTCATCATTAGACCCTTATTGGCCTTAATCACATACCACCTAGGTATAAAATCCTCATCAACACATATTAATCAAACACAATGTAGCTACTATTAACCGTTGAGGAGTTCCCTCGACTGCCTATCGACTCCATCATCAGATTAGCTCCAGGCTGTTATCAGATTGTAGTGATTTTAAATACTTAACGAAAAAATTAACAAATGCACTAGTCGCCAATATAATTTTTAAAAGTTCCCCTCGGTTTCCCTGGGATTCCATCATCAGATCCTCACTTCATGATAATGGGACCAAATGACAAACCTACCCGTTCAAACAAAACAAGAATTTTTAAAATCGGTCCAGGCGTCTTCGAGTAATCGAGTAAAAAACATTAAAAAAAAATACAGTCGAAAAAAAATACGCTCTTATTAGTTGATGATAGTTCGAATTAATAATCCAACATAACGAGAATCTTGTGAAAGCTGAAAAAGATAAAGCAAGCAAAGCAGATATCTTGATTTAGCTTATGAGATTGTCGACATGTGGGATTAATTTCCCTATTATTGAATTATACAGGCTTTGTAGGTATATTATGATATACAGACGTATTACTCGTATGTCTTTACCATTCACGGGACCACAGGGTCCCGGTCATTTGGGAGGCGTACGAGGGGCCGAAGCCAACTGCGCAGAGGCCCTTTAGACAACTATAATATAAATGTAATGGACACACAAACCGGCGACTATCCCTGTATGCACTATGGAAATGCACCCAAGGACAGTCCCCGGTTAGTGTAGGACTATTGTGAATAATGGAAAAAAAGGTAGGGCTATGGATGGGTTGTTGTGGACTGGTAAATTGGGAACTATGGATGACTATGACACCTGCCGAAACAATGTAATTTTTACACGTAAAAATGGCAGGCGGAGACTCGCCAACTCACCGACCGGGCCCCGGGAATGGTTGCTAGATATAGCAACAGAGGGGCAACGAGAATGTGAGTGGCTGAAGGGTTAAGAAACTACCACCGCTTTCTACTCAGATCATCTGCTCCAGCCGAAGCCTCCTGCATCCCTGGCCCACTCGCGACTTACGAATAGTTTCTTACCCTCCGAGCAGGTTCACTGCTCTCGCGACTCCACTCTGGACGGCCAATGAAGGCAAGCCAGAGGTGGGAGACCTGTTCCTTGTCATCTTTCACTCCAGCCAGCCAATTAAGGCAAGCCGGAGAAGAAGGAACGGTGACTTCTCCCTGGAGCACTCGGGATGATGGTAGCCCGCGGGATCGCTAATGCCCGTCACCTCGCCTCAAGGTGCCCTGCGGGCTTTACTCGTATTATTATTATAAGACTTGCTTACCCGGAATGGCCCGCCCAGTCCGTCGTCTAGTTCCAGCACATATCCACGCACGGCATGAGGTTGTGCCGGAGCCCGCCACGCAAGCGTGCACGAACAGCCACGCGCTGCACAGGCTTCGACTGCCATCTCAGGAGCGCCGGGCGCTGTATCATAATTATTATTATGTACTTATTGGTATTCTAACGTCAATTTCTATTTTCTCTTTGATGAATTATTGACGATGTCTTTTGAACCCTGAAAAGGTAATACCGAGAGAGAATTTCTTCTCATGTTTGGAGTCCCATGTAATAGACCTGTAAGTTTATCTAAAAAAATGTGATTACTTCTAGTTTGTGTGCTTGCCTTTCTCTGGACTCGAACACAAAAATAATGTCACAGCGTTGTTCAGCAGAACCTGTATTTCAAAAAACACTTATGATTAATACTACTTTAAGGGCATTTCTTTACCTGATGACTTCATAAGACATTCCGCTGCTGTATATCCAATGATAGCAAGAAAAGAAAAGGGATTTAATTGTCATGTTGGTTCAGACATGTTTTGCATGGGTAGTCAGTATTATCATATTGTGAGTACAACAATAGTTAGTAAACTTACGTATGCATTCCACGAAGTTCATACTTCTGACGGTGCGCAACACTGGCTCCACATCGAGTGTGAGGGCGGGGGCGGTGGGCGGAGTGTCTAATGACGAACACAGATTCGAAGCGGTCTCTTGCGCGCGCGCCGACAATATGTTCCCCACCTGACAAAATAATCATTTGTTATAAGAACTATTTTTTGAAAACACAAGAGTTGAGTGTTAACATTACTAGGCAATCAGTAGCTTAAAAATGTAACATTGTTATTTCCTAATGGGGTAAGCAGAGAGAAGATAATACTTTATTAATGTTATAATAGGCGATAATTTGAAAAATCGAAAACCCAATTATACTTCGGTTGATTTAAGAATCGAACTAGAGTTTTGTCGATCGGCAGTCGCCTTTGTAACCAAATGACCAACGAGGCTGCCAATACAAAATTAGTTGAAGAGCAAAAAGTATGAATTATTAATTAGTCGAATTCAAATACGGGTATGGTATGCTCCATAAGTAAAACAACAATATTATCCTTTGTTCAGAAAGCTTTGGCTAACGTAATGTAAAGCAGTGACTCGTGCTTTGTTTACATTTCTTAGATAGTTGTTCACTTATTGATAACCGACACCTGGCACAACACAATCGCGATAGTCTGAGTAATGGTTATCCTGTTGGATATATTTCAAGTACGTATTTAGTTTACACCTTGTTCTGTGTTAATAACTGCTGTTACAATAAAATGTATACTGAGTTGTGAGCGCGACTGCCGCATATAGGGTTTCGATTTGCCGCATATATTCGATTACCGGATTGGGTACAGTGTAGAGATTTTCAGTTTTCGAAAATTCTATATAATTGGACACATTAGACGCGTACCCGGTGTAGGACAATAGCTCGCCCTCTCGTCATGGGACTATAACAAATGGATAGATGCATTTCTAACATTTTCTGCACACAATTTTGATATTCATATTCTAGTATATACTAATGAACTATGCACTTCATTTGATGCTGATGAAAATAAAATAATATGAGACAAGTTAAGACCCACTAAGTAAAACACTAATATGCAAGTAGTAATATTGTGACATGGAAGATAAGGTTTATCAATATTACAGTACATAATGTAATACTGTTTGTTGATTGATAGCAGCTACATTAGAATTAGGTCAATCTAATAATACGGAATTGATAAAGGAATCAATATAAATGTTTAAGTTTAGAAAAGTTGTAGGTTTTCGATTTCTTTTATGCATTTTAAAAGTAATGTGAATTCAAACTAATATGAATAGGTACTTACTGAATAAATTATTATACAAGGCATAAACTAGGACGAGTTTGACAAGGTTGTATATTTAAAGCTAAAGAAATTGGTTTAGAAGTCTACTTTAGAAAACTATTTAGGTGTTACCTAAACACATACATAGATGGATTGCATAATGTTTATACTGATTGAATTCATATTACAGTCTAACAAGAAACTACTTACTTGTAGAAAAGCTGCATGGTCAGATTCTTTGAGAGCTTCTATGGAGAAGTGCAGCAGAGCTGTTGCTTCTCGCAGTTTCTGAGCAGCATGTGAAGTCAGAGAGCGCATATTGGTTATGGCCTGAGATCGTGTGTTTCTAGCTGCACGTATAAGCTCATCACGTCTCCTCTCTATGGCACGAGTTACTTCAGAACAAGCATTGTCAATTTGTTTCTCCAATTCTTCACAAGATTCCTATGGATGTAGAATGTTAACATGTTAATGAAATTAAATATGTAAAATAATTCTTTAGAATTCATATTGTACAGGTACAATTTGGTTTAGTATATTACAATAAAGGACTCACATTAATTTTGTCCCCTGTTCCTTTAACTAGCTGTATGTATTCTGTCATGGCTTTGGCTTGTTCTGATAGATGTTGTAATGATTGTGATAATTCAGTCTGAAATAAAAGCACAAGTCCAGTGAAAATCAGCTAAATCTAATTGGCCTAAATTAATTTCAGTGCAATCAGTTTGTAAGGTTGGATATTCATATTACCTTATGAGCCCTGGCAGCTGTGGATAAAGCTTGTGTCTCATGTGTAGAGTGTCTTTCAGCAAGGCAGCGCTGACATATGGGCACTAAACAGGCATTACAATAGAGGACGGGCGGCGAGCCATGATCTGCACAGGTGGTGCCCAGCGGCCGCAGCTCGTGTTGAGCCAGGGGCCCGCGTGTGGGGTGCCAGGCGTCGCGGCAGCCGGCGCAGTACCGAACTGAACATTGCTCACATCTCACCACGGCTGCTCGCCTTTCACCTTCGCACATTTGGCAGGCTTCCTCAGCAGGCGGAGCACCAGTAACACCACCGAATCGCTCAACAATAGTTCGCATAACGCGAAACGGAGGTAGTCCTTCGGCTCCATTGTCATCCAAGTAAACTAATTTACTGCAGGATGGACAAGTTATTGTAAACGCTGCGCTCGAATACGCGGGCGCTGCTGGGGTTCCTGCGTAACTATTAGGCCTTGATCCACATACTACTCCACTGTCAGTTTCGCTAGATACCGAGGCTTTGTCCGCTTCTTGGTAATCGTTAGAGGCTGCAGAGTTATCTCCTTCTGGTATATGAGTCTGTAAATTGACAGCACAAACTCTGCAAAGTGCATGCCCACAAGGTAGTAATACTGGTTCCCTGTAGAATTCTTTACAAACAAAACATCTTATCTCTTCTTCCATTTTGTTCTAATTGGAACGAAGCATAATATACGCACTATTACATAAAACTTTATACTTTTTACTTAATGTTAAATATTTTAAAACATCGCGTAGCTTGAATATAGAATTTCAGTCATAAATAAATAAAACCAACAATAAAATAACGCAACATGCATTGCATTACATTTTACACACTACACACAAGGACAAGGACAAGTCAGTCCATCTGTCATTCAAATACACACACAAAAACAGTACAAACATACAAAGAATAGACAATATAGCTGCATTAAAATCGACTAAAAAGCAATAGTACTTGACGGTAGACTATTAAGACTATTATGATGAGAACAAAGAAAATAAACACACTTAAAAACGAAAGAAGCAATAAAAACAATTTACGTTGTAATAACTAACTTACAAGTAAACTGTTCAAGAGAGAAGAATTTATTTTATAAAAATGTTTGGTGAGTTGCTGACATGTGAAAATGTTTAATACCGGTTTTCATGGCCGGTTTTTCGCTTCTATCTATTGCCAACATCAGGGGCTAAAGTGTCATCAGGCCTAAGTATGTATTTGACACTTTGATTTGACATTGACAGGCAGTTAGTAAATAATAAGATATCGTATTTGATTGGATTTGTGTTTATCAACTTTCAATGTTTTTGTGTTTTATAATGCGCTATTGTTTTATTATGCACTAAATTGTTATGAAAAGGTTGGAGCAAGTGTAATAGTTGATTTGATTATTGTAATAACATAAAAATGGAGCCGGCACTATCATCCGACGATAGTTGTGATTCCGAAATGAAGCATATGAAGAGTGAATTGATCGGTAAACTAATAATTATGTTTGTTTTAAGTGTATTGATTACATTTGAATAAAAATAAGAGTATTACGATGCTAGAATTTCTTGGTCTAAATAAAATGTGGTATTTTATTTATTTTATATTTTGTTAGGTAGTTACCAGAATAATTTAATAATCACAGAGCGCTTATAGTTTTAAGTTTTATTTGGTTTATTCCAATGATTGTTGTTTATATTTACCTTATAATTCAACCATAACTTGTCCTGTTTTATTTTCTTAGAATATGGCTTGGAGGAAGAGAATCTGAGTAAAGAAGAAATGAGTGATCTTTTAAAAGCTTTGAAGAATTCCAGATCTTCTGTAAGAGAAGATAGAGCTGCTCGTGATACTGAAAATGTAAGTTGAATTGAATATTTAGTAGATGATAACAATCATAATATTATAAGTTTTAATATAATCATACGACTTTATGTGTTTCAGTCTGAGAGAGTTGATCTTATTTCTACCCCCAACAAGTCTATGAAAAGGAGATACTTGAATGTGAGAGACAGACGCCTGCCATGGAGTTTGTTGCCCTCTACTATATCACCAACTGAGAAAGCCCGCAGTCTGGCAGTCTACATAAAACTAATGTCTTTAAACAGCTATCATCAGGCGAGGCAATCAGCCATTTTTGCTGCCTGGCCACCACCACTGCAGATTGTGGAGGAGACCACCAGAGTGCAGCCAGTAAGGTCTACTAGGAGTGGCCGCACTGTGCCTGTGTATGTTGATGTTGACTATGATGATAATTCCTCAGACTTAGACTTTGTTGTCACTAAAACTAAGAAAAGGAAAGTGTCTTCTAGTGAACAAAATGGGAATGATGGTATTTACACTAATAAAGTTATGAGCTTAAAAAGAAAGCCATCAAAGGATGAAAATAACAGGCCTGTTAAAGAGGCTAAAATGTCACCTGAAAATAAAGTAGATACCAATACTTCAGTTGTTCCTGTGAAGCCTAAGAAAGATCTTTTTACTTTAATTGAAGACTGAAGGACCACCTGTACTGGATTTTTGATAATTTAAATTATTTTATGTTTCAAATATTAAGATATGCATATTAATGCTTCTTTAAAGGATTCCTTAATATTTTTTTAAAAGAAACTTTATTCAGTTGTTTTAAATTGTTTCGATGTCAAATGTATATTGTGTTATCTAATGCATGGAATAAATGATAGATGATTCTGTTTCACAAATGAAAATGTGCATAATAGTAATGTTTTCTTTACAATAATTATGTGAAAGAAATATTTATATTAAGATGGTTTTAATTATTTGATTTATTAGATGTCTAATGTCTATTGTTTAATCTCAATGTATCAATAGGATTTTAATATTTTATTTAGTTCCTATGTAACAAAGGAAGTTAGATTTCACCATGATATCATAACTACCTGTGTGTATTAAAATCCATTATTATTTAGTCCTTGAATAGGTTCCTGCTGTTTTTTCATAAGCTACACATAGTCATACTTTATACTCATATTCAAGAACAGATATAATTTTTAATGTGAATACAAACTTCATGTGTAGTGTGTTGCTATTATACCCTTTTGAGTATCAATAATTATGTTCAAGGACCTAATAGGTATCTCAAAATAAATATATTAAATAAACAGTCAAATATTGAAACATAAAGTATATGGTATTAGGATAGTTGCCAGAGCATGAAAATTAAAAATCTAATTAGTCCGTCAATTAGATAATGGATAATTAAAAATATTAGACACATCTCATGTAAAGTTACAAATACTTAAACATGGCGTTGAGTTTGGGGAGTGTGAACTCATTTTGTCTACATTTTGTAGGATGTTGTGACGACACACGATATTTCAAATTATTATCGTCGAGCTCGAGAGTATTTAATTTTGTGATAGAAAGAAAAATACGTGTCTAATGTTTTGAATTAATATACCAGACGGAATTGTAATAAAATTTTGGAAATTACTCTATTATATAAAACTTACGAAGATATAGATAAATAATGTTTTCTAAATTTTGTAGGTAAATAATGTAGGTATAAGGTGTTATAAAAACATGATTGAACTTTTTCATAGTTTTCTACGAATGGAATCGTCGCCCATAATTAGGTATATTTTAATTTTGTTGTATCTCAAATATTTACATTTCTTGTAGTTTTAATAATTTTATCATAAAGATCGTGTTCTTGTAAACAAGCTCTCATAATCGAAATAAGTATAAGCCATAGATGTAGTATATTAAATTGGGTTTACACCAGTATACATACTCAATTGATACTATGAAAATTAAAAATGTAAGTAACTGACATATATTTTTTTTACATTGTAAAAAATATTTTACAATTAGTTATTTTTCGGTCTAGTTTAAAACAAATTCAAGTTTCGACGTATAAGCAAAAGTACAACACCATTTTGGAGACTCGGTTGCCAAAGAAGAAAAAAAAAGCAAAAGTAAACAATAGTTTTGATTCTGAACACATGTCTGATAGTTTAATTAATATATAGTACCAGACGGATATGAAAGTATGTTTTTCATCATCATTCCCAGTATACTGCTTGCCAAGACTTACAAGGAGATGGTGAGGGAGAAGAGAGTAAGACTGAGGGGGGAAAAAAGCTTTGGAATGGGAAACTTAATTTGTGTTTGCTATAAATCTGTGTAATTTAATGTAGTTGTTCATATTACATAGAAATGAATATTTTACACAAACTAATTTTCGGTCTCCTAGTTACCAAATATAGAATGGCCCATTTACGATATTACATCTATGTCTAATTGTACTGTTGTTCAATTGAAGTTGTAAATATATGCTTTTGTTTTGTTTTTCATCCGTTATTTTAATATTTAAGTTTGGTTCAATTTTGGTGCTGCCTTGTGATTTTGTTTACGGCTACTGTGAGTTACGTTGCGTGATTGAAATTATTTTATCTTGTAAAACGTGTACAATTCCGATGTAGGTTTTTCTACATAACATAACATCACGCCTTTTATCCCCGAAGGGGTTTTTTTTAATTTTATTTTTTTTAAGGGGAGAAAATCATAGCATGACTGCTCCCGCCTGGGTGAGGCGGAAGGGAGTGTCAGACTCTTAAAACCACCCCGTTCCTTCTCCTGCACGTCGAGCCGGAGCCCCGGTTACCCGTTAGGTTCTCCGCGACTCCGAATCGGCATCGGCCCTATTGGGCCCCATCTGTGGTGGTCTGATGGCTCTTTGATTCGCGCGCGGAACGCGACGCGCCGTACTCCCCGAAGGGGTAGGCAGACGTGCACATTATGGCACTTAATGCTTACAATGTAACACCCACTTTTCACTATTTATGTCACGAGTCCCATGTAATAGGAGGTGAGCCTATTGCACAAATCCAGACACCGTCGTACAGTTGAGTTTTTTTTAAAAACTCAGTAATAATTTGTCCGATCCGGGAATCGAACCCGAGACCCGTTGCCCGGCAGTCGCACTTACGATCACTCCAATCGGCCAATGAGGCCGTAGATTGTTCTACTGCATATAGAGGTATAAATTACTTGATGTGCTTACAGATTATAGAAAAGTAGCCAGTAGACATAAGTAGTCATTTGTTACAATTGTATAATTAGTTGAGAAGCTTTCGGCTAACGCAATTATACGACAACTATTATTGTTAAGATTATGTAATCAAATAAACGTGTTATGTGTCGTCGTGAAGTAACTGCTTCGGAAACTCGTGTACTCTAAATAAAACAACAAAAGTATTATTGTCGTGTTTATTTATTGAAACTCCTTTTTTGATAAGTTCTAAAATCACAGGACATACCATAAAAGGTTTGGGAACCTAAACAATTAGTTAAAATTTGAAAACACTGGGAACAGTAGGCACTGGGAAAATACTTAAAAAGTGCGGTATCGGAAATCGTCGATATAGAAAAAAAAACATGAATTGATAAAAGGCACAAAATGTCATAAAATTCCTTTGTCTGGCTTTTTATTTAGTAATAATCAGCTCCAGTTCGTCTATATGACGTTCTGATAGCTAGAAATAATGATCGCTGATAAAAGTAATCAACAGTAAATAATACCTATTAGGACTTCACTATAATTGAAATAAATATTTTAACTATCAATATTGACATACAATAGATAAGTATAAGTAGGTAGGTACCGTAGGTATACATACGTATTTGAGTGGTATTCCGTAACTATCCAAGTGAATTGTCTCTTTTTTGGTCGACAGTTTTAATTATTTTTCCCGCGCCATATCTTTAAAAATACGACAATACAATCATTGTGTCGTGTCGAGTAAAATCAGATTCATATTGGCACTTAGGTTTAGGTTTAAAGAATTTGTTTCTTATTTAACAACAGTACATAAGTGCCACCTAACATCCGTGACAATAAATCCATCCCAATCTTTAAAAGACTTGTAAGGGAGCACCTTTCCTCATCCTGTGCAAATTAGTGTCATATACAGCCTTGTTCAAAAGTATTGAGCACCCCTTCACAATATGTCATTCGCTGATTTAACATAGCCGTTTTTGTTTCTATTGTTTCTCATTAGGTAGTTGGCATTCCTAAAGAGTACAAAACACCTTTTTTAACTTTATCGTAAGTCATAAAACACCTTGGCGTACAAATAATACGAATTGTAATTTTTACAAAAATTAGCCAGTGCACAACTCGGGCTTGTTTGGGACGTAGGTCAATTTCCTTTTACTAAAGTTGATTAATATTTAAATATTAAGTGATTCGCCACCAAAATTCCTAAAAATTTGTGAAATTAGTATGCATCAGCATTTCGAAATTTCGGTTCCCACTAATCAAGGGAAACTTCAAGTCAAAATCGCTAAAATTGTGCAATGCTCGCGACGAGAGGTGCAGTACCCGATTAAGCGATTAGACGAAACTACGAGCCATGCCAATAGGCCAAAAACTGGACGAAAACGCATCACCACAGAAAGAGAAGATAGAAAATAGATTCTAGAGTCACTCAAAAACCGTAACCACACTTCATTTGTGCTGGCTGCTGACTTCTCTGAACGAATGAATACAAGAATTGCTGCACCAACCGTTAGAAGAAGACTTGTAGAAGCTGGTTTAAAAGGCTGCATGGCTAGGAAAAAGCCCTTGCTGTCACAAAAAAAACACAAAAGCTCGATATGAGTGGACAAAAAGTATTCAACATTTTATGGCTGCAGATTGGTCAAATATTCTGTGGTCTGACGAATGTAACTTTGAGGTAAGATTATGAAAATGATTTAATTCTATAAAATCAATAGAACTTTTTGTAGTGTTTGAATAAATAAATAAAATGGTAATTAAAAAATCTTATTTTTACAGGTGTTTGTTATCCCCTTGCTTCCTACGTAAGAATACGTGTGGCGGCGGCTTTCAACTCAGACTGCTTAGTACCAACAGTCAAGCACGTAGGAGGCAGTATAATGATTTGGGGCTGTGTGGAAGCCTCTGGCGTGGAAGAAATGTTTCTTTGTGAACGACGCATGGACTCAGGAAAATACATAAAAGTGTTAGAAAAGATGTTGATACTGTCATTTTCAAAAATTTTCGGCGACACAAACTTGGATGGAGTTAAATTCCGATAAGATAACGCACCTTGTCACAAATCCGCTCGCACAATGGAATGGTTTGAATATAATTCCATTGAATTTCGGAGCGGCCTGCTCAATCTCTCGATCTCAACCCCATAGAGCAATTATGGGACATATTGAAGCGCAAGATACGCAATTACTCAATTTCAAACAAAGAAGATCTCAAACTGCATATCCCGCAAGAATGGAACAAAATATCAGCTGATGAGTGCAAGAAATTAGTTAGCTCTATGTCAAAACGAATCGCCGCTGTCATAAATGCGAAGGGTGACACGACGAAATATTGATTATTTGATTTAAAATAAACATATATGTTCGTATGAGTCAATTTCATTTTAATTTTCCCGGAAAAAGTTAAGACGTCTTATGTAGGGGGTGCTCAATACTTTTGAACAGATCCGCGGATACCGCACGATCGCTGGGGAGTC